CCAACAGCAAAGTATGATAATAAATGAACAGCGACATTGAAATATACAGATACAGTGAAACCTGCATACGCAATCACCTATCCAAAATATCAAAATCACTTTATCCAGTAAACTGTATTTTAAGTGACTCCCAAATCTTGCATTTTGGGTGGGATATTATGAGAGCTTACATGTGTTTTCATGTTAGCTTTATTGCATCTGTTGTTAGAAGAAGGCTGATTATTATGACTGTAGGGATAAGGGTGTGATGGAGTCTTGTAAGATGGTTTATTGTGGCCATTCAAATTCTTCGGAAGTAATATCTTGAATCTTGAATTTTGACTTTGGCCAACTCCAGAGTGAAAAGGTTAACGAAATAGAGGATATTACATGGCTGGGCGGAGATACGAAATTTCTCCACTAGTGATCACAGTGAATGAGTGAAATATTTTTTCAACAAAAGAAAGAGAAATTTCGTATCTCCAAGCGGCCATGTAATGTTCTATTTATTATATAAACACCAATGAAATACCAAACCATTTCACTTTAATAGTTTTTTGGTGTGAAAGGCGCGATTTATTATGTAGCCATAGCAAAGGTGATTTTTTCACATGTGAAGATAACATGTTATTTTCACATGTGAAGATATCAAGTTTTCGCGTGAAAGCTCACCTGGTATTTCATTGGTGTTTATATAATAAAGGGATTTTTAAAACCTTAATCTCCACATTGGCCTTTTAAGCCTAATATAGGCACACTTTGTATGGGTAGAGCAGAGTGTCTGACCTAAAAATCTAAATATTGATTAATTTTTTCATGCAGGTTTCAGAAATATCAACAGCAGCTCCAACAGAAACATGGCCATTCTTCCCAGTCCTCCCCTTTGAATCAGACTGCAGAGGGACTGGCCTCTACCTCTGAACTATCCCCTGGAGATGGCAGACGCTTTTCCTTGGGACATGCTGGAGGGCCAGTCGGGGGAGTAGGGCAGGCAGGAACATTTTCAGGAGGGGCTCAGGTGAATTTATTTTTCAACTGTGTTATTCAAGGTATTTCCTTGTGCACACGTGGGTACTGTTGCCAAGTGGGACTGACTTGGTTTTTTATATCAAGTATTATACATTTTGTATCCTCTAGAAAATCGAGTGGCAAAGTTTTAAGTGACAGGAACTTAGGATAGATAAATGTAATTATTGAAAACAGGGATCTTGATTCTAGTATCCAAGAAAGTAAAGTTAAAGCCATTGTTGATTAGCTTGCGTTCTATAATGTAAACAGAGCTGTGAATTAAGACGATAAAAATTAAGACTTGCGTCTGGCTTAATGCAGTCCTTTGATCTCTTAAAGGGAAATCTTCTGTAAAATTTTATCAAATTGAGAGTAAAACAGCTTTTTGTATTAAGAGAGCTTGACCCTTGAGTGTTGTAATGCACTTTGGACCCTCAGCTTGCATTTAATATGAATAATAAAGTATTATTAATTTAAACTGTAGGTTTCTAAAGGGGAACCAATGGATGTTGATGTGGGAAGCATTGTGCTGTCTGGTGCCCAACGCGACATGGCTCCTCCTCAGGTATCTCCTAGAAGGGCTGATCATGTACCTGCACGACAACAGAGCACATTACAGTCAACAGCAGCCAGTTCGCATGGCTCGGCAGAGTCCACCCTTGTATCACTGCTATCACAACCATCTGCTAAGGATGAGAAGCAGTTGAGAAGGGGAAGTTTTTCTGACCAGGAACTACAACCAACCAAGGTGATTCCATTTAATAAAGTTGAAGGGGTTGCTTGAAAAATGAATGACTAGTTTGCCATAAAATGTGTACTATTTCAAATAAGTTCTTTTGCTGCCCATATAACCTTAGTGCTGATATCATTAATGGAGCAGAAGGCCTCAAAAATCATAGAATCATCCATTTTTGTCTTCCCTATAGTCTCAAGCAACTCAAGTGAATCACAACCTATTTCTTCAGGAAAAATTCACAAGGCTTTTAAGAGTTTCCTTCTCTTTGTTCTGCACTGGTTTGTTGAGTTTCAACGAAACAAAAGAAACCTGTCCTTTTTATTGAAGTCATTGATAAACAAATACAGTGAACCTCTAAAAAGTGCCTACACTCAGGGAAGGGAAAAGTGCCGACTTACATGTAATAAAGGTTATCACTTCATAGACGTTCTGTATACAGTGATTTCTTGACAATTCTGTTTGTTGGGACTCTGTTAACTGGCCAGTAAATAATATAAAATGACTAAGTTTCTTACTTAACAACAAGTTTATCTGCCAAAATGGAGCTGCCGTAATAGCAGATCATGGCCCCGTGGGTATCCCTTTAAGCTGGCATTGTCTGTGATGTGGTTTTCTTCATACTGAATTTATTCATATTTCAGGAGCCTGAACGTCGATCCTCTGTGAGTGGCCAGGGGGCTCAAGCAGCCTCTTCACCATCACAGGCAGCAGGATTACAGCAAACTTCAAACTCTCAAAATTCTGACGGAAAGCATTTTTTAGGTACGTTGTTACTTTCATTACTATTACCAGTATTTAAGCACAAAAAGTAACGCCATAAACACATGACGTTTCGGTGGATGCAAATGAACAGAAGTAATAAACGATTTATATAGAAAGTGGCGTTGTGAAACAGTTCATTAACAAGTGAAGAAAAAAGCAAACTCAAAAACGTATTTAAACCTCCAAAAACCAAGGAGAATGAGATATCTTTGCTGTAGGTAAAATGGTTTGTAAGGTTAAAACTTTACCAGCAATTTCTTTGTTGCCTATCAAATAACTGGGGCTAGAAAACAAAGGAAAGTTTGGATACCTGGTACCTCAGTGGTTAGTGCATCCGACTAGATCACGGAGGTTAGTGGGTTCGAATCCCATCTGTGGCTCGGATTTTTTTTCCGAGTTTCCATTCGATGCCAAAAACATATCATGTTCTACTTTTACAAAGACTCACTTGGTGGTTGGTTTACCTGAGAACGGATTTTACCTACAACATCTCTAAGGTGTTCCATTGTTCCTAATAAACATGCTGTCAGTGGTAGTTGTGGGTATTGACGTTGTTGGTTTTTTGTTAGGGGTTACTCCCTCCATGGAGTCTACCAAAAAACTGGATTCCATGAGGGAGATACCAGGAAACATAACACAAGTCCCGGCAACCGCACCAGCGGCAGCACCATCTGTCAGCGCACCTACACTCTCTAAATTACTGGCTGCTGAAACACCTGCTGCAGCAGCTGCTTCATTAAATGCCATCACATCTCATGGGGGAGCCATAACCAAGGTACACTCACCTCTCTCTTAAAGGGACCGTGTCACGGCTCTGTGGCTCATTTTGTTTACAGTGCCAATTAGTAAATGATTGCTTAAGCGCCGCACCTTTACCCAAAATAATTTAATAATTGCGACTCTCGAATAAACGCCGCGGTGCTAATTTGGGTATTTACAAACTAACGCCCCACCTTTGTTACGGTGCTTGATAAAAAGAGATATCAAAACCATATCGCTTGAGAGATAAGACCTCGACCAACTCGTGAGTTCTAAAGTTTTAATGAAGGGAAACTCTTGAAATTCTTGTATTTGCGGTGTATGTGCAGTTATTTTTAATTTTTTACTCAGTTTGGTGGCAGTTAATTCCTACTTTTTAAATTTTGATAAATTTTGTGACACAGGTCCTTGAACGATTTACGTCCCAAGAGTAATTAACATCAGTCTTCTCCTAATAATATCAACGAATTAAGGTCGTTTCGCTACAAGTCGTTTCGCTGTATTATGGAGTCGTTTCGCTACACCATAAAGTCGATTCGCTGCAACCACTTTTTTGTATTAAATAGTTTAAAACAATTTAGAATTAACGACAAACTGGTAATAACGAGTTAAGTTAGCAAAACGACTTTACAACTTTGCAGCGAATCGACTTCATTATGCAGAGAAACGACTTGTAGCGAAACGACCATACTCCATAAGCAGTCTCTTGATATCAATACATAACCAAGAGAAAAGTTTACAAGAATAAGAGCACCAGTGGGAAAATGCTATGATCTTTAATTTAATTCTCTCCACTTATTCTTAAAGGAAATGTCTGAAAATCGGTCTGTAGAATCAGTATGTGGATATTGGAGCTTAATGAATTAACGCGCACCTTTATATTGCGAACTCTTCACTAGAACAGACACCAAGAGGCGGTTTCTGCCTTAATTCAAGCCTTTTCTTTGGCTCTCTATTCTATAAGACGGATATCTGCTTAAGATGGATACATGGTGCCACTCCCAAAGGTCTTTCTGAGAGTTGTCTTTATTTCCAGAAAATGTCTATATATTTTAAAAACTAAATATGGTTCATTTACCCAATACAAATTGTTTTCACTAAAAGTTTGAAAAGAGAGCCTTTTAGACACTTTAAAAGGAAAATAATTCGAAGTGACTCATCAACGAATATTTTTTCCAGACCACAGGAAGGGTAGAGGGAAGAGTTTTGGAGTCCACAGCGAACCCAGTGGATAGCGCTGTTTCTGTTATTGGTGGAGGCAGAGGATCCGCTGAAGGTATACCTCATGATCAATTACATAAAGATGATTACATACGTTTGTAAAAAATTGAATTGTCTGTATTCTTATTGTGAGTTCGGTCCTTTTATGAGAACTTGTGACGAACTTCAATAGTAGAAATTTGATGCAATCTGATTTTAGTGTGAGTTTGTTATGGTTGTTTGACCTGTTCAACTTTGAAGTACCAAATCTGTTAAGAAAAAACGAAATCCATGGCTCCAGCTCATTGGCATTGATTTAGCATTTCCTAGGTCTCAAGTCCTAAACGGGTCATATGAACTTAAATTTTTAAGCTATTGAGTTCATTATAAGGCTTCTAAGTAACCTCAGATCAGGCTGAATTTCAGCAGTTCTCGTAATCTCTCTCTTACGTGGCCCGCTGAAATAAAATTATAAAAATTATACAGCTTCACGTCAGGCTAACCTCTTTGAGATCCGTTATAATTTGCCGCTTTGGCACTGTTGTGAGTACCCAGCGAGCAGAGGTTACATTTTCGCAGGGTACGCCCAGTTTAAACGTCAAACTTTTTATGTACCCGAACTTGATAGCTATGTGGGTCGGCCCAAATGATACAATTTCGACAGCTGATTCAGACGTCGAACTTAATTAGTCAGACTCAATTCATTTTCACGATGTACAGTGGTCTACAATGTTTACCAGTGAAAATAAAGTACCGTAAACTATGCATTAGGTTCGGTACATGAAAAGTTCCACGTTTGAAACGAAGTCGCTCCTAAGTCGAAATTACCATGTGCACCACTCAAACGTAATTTATGGGTCGACTCAAATTAGATATGTTGGACGTGATTGATTCAAACGTTGTCCATCTTTTCATGTTCTTAATTGAAGAGATAAGGTTCTGTACCTGAAAAGTTCGACGTTTGAGCTATTCCTACGTTGTGAGCTGAGCCTAAGATAATTGTGTGTGTGTTATAATTTTTTCACAGGCAGTCAGTCTGTTCTGACTGTGTCTACGTCCATGCCATCAATCTCAGTCAACCCTAAGGTAATTGCATAAAGCTCTATTTTTTCTGTGCCTTTTCAAGTTTGTTTTGGTGTTGTGATTGAGTTACTTTACAAATTTCATTCTCTCAACTTAGGTTGGCTTTCCTCGAGTGAGCAATGTTGTTGAAAATACACTTTATCATGCAATTGCTGTGGCTGTGCATCGCGATTGCCTGAAAAAAACTCTTGCCACTTTCCTAACCAATCACAATTCAATTTTAAAACGAATCCTGACTTCCTAGCGAGCATTTTCCTGTGCTTTCACGCCACCAGCAGTGATTTGATTAAATCGGTTGAAAGGTGTTTGGCCGGCACAAAAACTGTACGTAAACCGCAAGGGTAAAATCTCCAACCCTTTTGGTTATTAATTAACTCATTTTTTGCTCATTTGCTTTCTAGGCTGCTGCTCTCACAGCAACACTCCCCTCCCCACTGGCAATCACACCACCACCCACCACCCCTCCGGCAGACAGAAAGGTCAGTTGAACTGCAAACGTTGAAAAATTAAAAAAATTAACCAAACCGCTTTCCTTCATGTTTTTTTTTTTTTTACGTTCTTTGCACAGGAAATGATTACCGATAAGTTTGAACCAAAAGTGAAAAATGCTGAGAAGATAAGCGGTGCTGAAATAACCAGTGTCAGTCTTGAAAACGAGGCCAACAGTGAACGGGCAAATGACGACCAGCCAGGGACCGTCCCTGAAGTAAGAGTGGAGACCACAGACACCCCAGTCACCTCTCCACGAGTGTCTAAACGAGCATCCAAACCTGGCAGACCTGGTAGACCTGGAGATCATTTAGATAACCGCGTCTTACCGTCACGAGAAAAGATGGCAAACGCAATGATCTTAAGGCACCAGTTTAAGGAAAGAAATTAAACGCGGCACCACTTTACCAGTAACAAATTGTCAGGAGCCTGAAATTGTATATTTTCTTTTTGAAAAGTTTAACCTTTTCTCGCTTACTCGAGAAATCCTTTTACCAAGTGAGTTCTTAGAGTAAATTGAAATCTGATTAATTTCTTCAGAAATTAGATTGAACAACCTTGACTTCTCTCATTTTTTTTTTGTCACAGGGAGACCACCCAGAGCGGCGCGTAGAAATCAGCGAAATCGCAGCAAGTCGGCGACCTCCACGGTAAGTAAGGCCTTCGTCACTTCCGTAAAACTATTGATAAAAAATCCATTACAACGTTACCGTTTTTATACATTTCCTTTGCAGGACAATGAAGGTGATATCGAAGAAGAACATGAAGAGGTAGGGATTAAATTAACCTGGCAGAAATCGGAGGGGTGAGTCTCTTGTCAGTTTATAGCAGGGTGGCTGGAGCTACCGACCGGGATCTGCGATGTCATGGGTTCGAATCCTTTGCTGAATCAGTTTTTTTTCTTCGTCTCCCATTCCTGACATTATGAGCATTGCGTCGTTTACAGTTTTAGAATTTTTTTTCGGTCAAACATTTTTTACACTGTGTCACATAAATCGTTTCTAAGAGTGCTTACCTTGAGAGAATCCAAGATATGATTTTTAATCTCAGAACCCTGGATTTGTTTCGACGAAAGTTACGAAGAAGCGGATCGTAACATAAGCGTTAACCAGCAAAAAACGTGGCCTCTGTATTTCTTAAACCGCTTTTTTGTTGTTTTCGGAGACGAGTTTGGATTCTTTGGATTCAAAATCTATGCTTGGATCTTAATAAAGAAATTGAAAATCATTTTCAGAATTCATTCATCCAGGTTTGGATTTTTCTAAAGAAATGCGCTCTAAGGTGCCGCTAATATTCTTTTTTCCTCGAGGAATCTAAATTTGAGTCGGTAGAAGTGGAGTCAGAAAAAACAGAGGAAGAGGAAGACAACGAATCCATTGTTGAAGAGAAGAAAGAAGAAAGTGACGAGGAGATGGAGCGAGAGAGCGGTGAGGAGGCTGTTTCGGACTCCGGGGACAGGAATCAGTCGGAGAAGGATGAACCTGTGACCACCATGAAGGACTTCCTGATGGAAAGGTCGGGGATTGGGGGCTCCGAGTCGGTACCGGGGAGTCCTGCCTCTCAAGTATCACAGGGGTATGTAAATTATTGCTTGAGATACGCTTCTAAGGGCCTGTTTACATGGAGATGGGGGACCCCAGGTAGGTGAAGGAATCCGTGGCGGGTCACCCCACCTATCACGTAATCGTGATCAAATTAAAATGAGAGTTATATGGACAGGCGGGTTACCTCACCTGCCTGGGATACCTACCTCCTTGTAAACAGGCCCTAGGTCGCGTGGCGTTGCATGGTGTTTTTCTTTAATTATACCGAAAGAACTAGAGAAACACACGATAAGTGATGCCATCAATACTAGGCCCGTGAGTGTGTGTTTTTTTAATCTATATTTTTTGTATTGTATTAGAAGTAGCGATGAACAAGAAGCTATCCAAGCGCAGAAAACGTGGAAGAAGTCAATCATGCTGGTCTGGAGAGCTGCCGCTAATCACAAGTAAGAGCGAATATTTTATCGCCTTATCGCTTTTTTACCTTACCTCCGATTCCTACGGAAACCCGATAGTTTACCCGGAATCCGATAGTCTGCGCAGCTGGCAGTACACTCTGTACGCGTTCCCGCATTGCTTTGAACAAAGACACCAACTCGAGGTTCGGGTGACTAAATAAATGTTAAGAAAATCCTCATAGTTGAAGACGCAACTTATGGCTTGCGGTGATTGGAACCCTGACCTCTGCGATACCGGTGCAGTTCTCTAACAAATTGAGCTATAAAACGAACTGGGAGCTTGTCATTAAAGTGGTTTCTAATATATCTGGAAAATATGAAAATAAAATAATGTATATGTACGAATTTCAGGTGCTGCAACAGCGGAATGAAGAAATAAATGCAAAGAAAATCATGTCAGTTGTGAAAACTGAGAAAGCCTGAAAAAAAAATGATAATAAATAAAATCAGAAACTCATAAGGGGTTATGGATTTCTGATAAAATAGAATAAAAATATATAAATCAATCCACCCCGCGCAATCATTTGTATGAAATTGTCCACCCAAACCTCGATTTCATTTTTTTTCTCTGCTCCTTGTTGCGGAATGGGGAGGAGTGCGCACGGAAAGGTCTTATGAGTTTCTGATTTTATTTATTATCATCTTTTTTTTCGGGCTTTCTCTTAGCGAGCTGCACCGGTATCGCAGAGGTCAGGGTTCCAATCACGGCAAGCCATCAGTTGCGTCTTCAACTATGAGGATTTTCTTTCTTGCAGTTCCACCCAGAGCCAAACTGACCCTCGTGCGCACTCGCGCGCTGAATAGTAGCCTGCAGGGTTACTATTTTTACTCTCCCTAATCTTCCTCCGTCATAACAAAGATGGCGGTTACAACAGTACGAACATAAACAAGAACGCTCTTGGTAACATGAGTCTCGCTTGCTTGGAGATGAGATTTGTTGTCAAAGGCCCCCGGCGCTAATATACTACTTTTTCGTTTGGAATACAAAACGAGTGTTGTATGTCATAATGTATATACTCAAAAAGTAAAAACAACGGTGACAACGGTGACAACAGTGACAACGGTGACAACGGTGACAACAGTGACAACGGTGACAACAGTGACAACGATGACAACAGTGACAACAGTGACAACGGTGACAACAGTGACAACAGTGACAACGGTGACAACGGTGACAACGGTTACAACGGTGACAACGGTTACAACGGTGACAACGGTGACAACGGTGACAACGGTGACAACAGTGACAACGGTGACAACAGTGACAACAGTGACAACGGTGACAACGGTGACAACAGTGACAACGGTGACAACAGTGACAACGATGACAACGGTGACAACAGTGACAACGGTGACAACGGTGACAACAGTGACAACAGTGACAACGGTGACAACGGTGACAACGACAACGGTGACAACGGACAACGGTGCCAATAGTAACAACGGTGACAACAGTTAGAACGGTGACAACGGTGACAACGGTGACAAAAGTGACAACGGTGAAAACGGTGACAACGGTGACAACAGTGACAACGATGAGAACGGTGACAACGGTGAAACCAGTAACAAAAGTGACAACAACGACAACAGTGACAACGGTGACAACGGTGACAACGGTGACAAGAAAACGGTGACAACAGCAACAACGGTGACAACAGTGACAATGGTGAAAACAGTGAGAACAGTGACAACAGTGACAAGAGTGAGAAGAGTGACAACGGTGACAACGGTGACAACAGTTAGAACTGTGAGACTGGTGAAAACAGTGACAACGGTAACAACGGTGACAACAGTGACAACAGTGACAACAGTGACAACGGTGACAACAGTGACAACGGTGACAACAGTGACAACAGTGACAACGGTGACAACGGTGACAACAGTGACAACGGTGACAACGTTGACAACAGTGACAACGGTGACAACGGTAACAACGGTAACAACAGTGACAACGGTGACAACAGTGACAACGGTGACAACGGTGACAACGGTGACAACAGTGACAACGGTGACAACAGTGACAACAGTGAGAACGGTGAACAAGAACGCTCTTGGTAATGTGAGTCTCGCTTGCTTGGAGATGAGATTTGTTGTCAAAGGCCCCCGGCGCTAATATACTACTTTTTCGTTTGCAATACAAAACGAGTGTTGTATGTCATAATGTATATACTCAAAAAGTAAAAACAACGGTGACAACAGTGACAACGGTGACAACAGTGACAACAGTGACAACGGTGACAACAGTGACAACAGTGACAACGGTGACAACGATGACAACGGTGACAACGATGACAACGGTGACAACAGTGACAACGGTGATAACACTGACAACGGTGACAACAGTGACAACGGTGACAACGGTGACAACGGTGACAACGATGACAACAGTGACAACGGTGAGAACGGTGACAACGGTGACAACGGTGACAACGGTGACAACAGTGACAACGGTGACAACGGTGACAACAGTGACAACGGTGACAACGGTGACAACAGTGACAACAGTGACAACGGTGACAACGGTGACAACGATGACAACGATGACAACGGTGACAACAGTGACAACGGTGACAACAGTGACAACGATGACAACGGTGACAACAGTGACAACGGTGACAACAGTGACAACGGTGACAACTGTGACAACAGTGACAACTGTGACAACAGTGACAACTGTGACAACGATGACAACAGTGACAACAGTGAGAACGGTGACAACAGTGAGAACGGTGACAACAGTGAGAACGGTGACAACGGTGACAACAGTGACAACGGTGACAACGTTGACAGCAGTGACAACAGTGACAACGGTAACAACGGTGACAACTGTGACAACGGTGACAACGGTGACAACAGTGACAACGGTGACAACAGTGACAACGGTGACAACGGTGACAACGGTGACAACGGTGACAACGGTGACAACGGTGACAACAGTGGCAACGATAACAACGGTGACAACAGTGACAACGGTGACAACAGTGACAACGGTGACAACAGTGATAACGGTGACAACAGTGACAACGATGACGACGGTGACAACAGTGACAACGGTGACAACGTTGACAACAGTGACAACAGTGACAACGGTGACAACGGTGTCAACAGTGACAACGATGACAACGGTGACAACGGTGACAACAGTGACAACGATGACAACGGTGACAACAGTTACAACGGTGACAACAGTGACAACGATGACAACGGTGACAACAGTGACAACCGTGACAACGGTGACAACAGTGACAACGGTGACAACGATGACAACAGTGACAACGGTGACAACAGTGACAACGGTGACAACAGTGACAACGGTGACAACAGTGACAACGGTGACAACAGTGACAACGATGACGACGGTGACAACAGTGACAACGGTGACAACGTTGACAACGGTGTCAACAGTGACAACGATGACAACGGTGACAACAGTGACAACGGTCACAACAGTGACAACGATGACAACGGTGACAACAGTGACAACGGTGACAACAGTAACAACGATGACAACAGTGACAACAGTGAGAACGGTGACAACAGTGAGAACGTTGACAACAGTGAGAACGGTGACAACGGTGACAACAGTGACAACGGTGACAACGTTGACAGCAGTGACAACAGTGACAACGGTAACAACGGTGACAACTGTGACAACTGTGACAACGGTGACAACAGTGACAACGATGACAACAGTGATAACGGTGACAACGGTGACAACTGTGACAACGGTGACAACAGTGACAACGATGACAACAGTGACAACGGTGACAACAGTGACAACGGTGACAACAGTGACAACGGTGACAACAGTGACAACGGTGACAACAGTGACAACGGTGACAACAGTGACAACGATGACGACGGTGACAACAGTGACAACGGTGACAACGTTGACAACAGTGACAACAGTGACAACGGTGACAACGGTGACAACAGTGACAACGATGACAACGGTGACAACAGTGACAACGGTGACAACAGTGACAACGGTGACAACGGTGACAACAGTGACAACGGTGACAACAGTGACAACGATGACAACGGTGACAACAGTGACAACGGTGACAACGGTGACAACGGTGACAACGGTGACAACGATGACAACAGTGACAACGGTGACAACAGTGACAACGGTGACAACAGTGACAACGGTGACAACAGTGACAACGGTGACAACAGTGACAACGATGACGACGGTGACAACAGTGACAACGGTGACAACAGTGACAACGATGACAACGGTGACAACAGTGACAACGGTGACAACAGTAACAACGATGAGAACAGTGACAACGGTGACAACGGTGACAACGGTGACAACGGTGACAACGGTGACAACAGTGACAACGATGACAACGAGGACAACAGTGACAACAGTGACAACGGTGACAACAGTGACAACAGTGACAACGTTGACAACAGTGACAACGGTGACAACAGTGACAACAGTGACATCGGTGACCACAGTGACAACGGTGACAACGTTGACAGCAGTGACAACGGTGACAACGGTAACAACGATAACAACAGTGACAACGGTGACAACGGTGACAACAGTGACAACGGTGACAACAGTGACAACAGTGACAACAGTGAGAACGGTGACAACAGTGACAACGGTGACAACAGTGACAACAGTGACAACGGTGACAACAGTGACAACGGTGACAACGGTGACAACAGTGACAACGGTGACAACTGTGACAACAGTGACAACGTTGACAACAGTGACAACGGAGACAACGGTCAGAACGGTGACAACAGTGACAACGGTGACAACAGTGACAACGTTGACAGCAGTGACAACGATGACAACGGTGACAACAGTGACAACGGTGACAAGGGTGACAACTGTGACAACGGTGATAACAGTGACAACAGTGAGAACGGTGACAACAATGACAACGGTGACAACGGTGACAACAGTGACAACGGTGACAACGGTGACAACAGTGACAACGGTGACAACAGTGACAACGGTGACAACGGTGACAACAGTGACAACGGTGACAACAGTGACAACGATGACAACGGTGACAACGGTGACAACAGTGACAACGGTGACAACGGTGACAACAGTGACAACGGTGACAACAGTGACAACGGTGACAACGGTGACAACAGTGACAACGATGACAACGGTGACAACAGTGACAACGGTGACAACGGTGACAACAGTAACAACGATGACAACGGTGACAACGATGACGACGGTGACAATAGTGACAATGGTGACAACGTTGACAACAGTGACGACGGTGACAACGGTGACAACAGTGACAACGGTGACAACGGTGACAACGGTGACAACAGTGACAACAGTGACAACGGTGACAACGATGACAACAGTGACAACAGTGACAACGGTGACAACAGTGACAACGGTGACAACGGTGACAACAGTGACAACGGTGACAACGGTGACAACAGTGACAACGATGACAACGGTGACAACGATGACGACGGTGACAATAGTGACAATGGTGACAACGTTGACAACAGTGACAACGGTGACAATGGTGTCAACAGTGACAACGGTGACAACGGTGACAACGGTGACAACAGTGACAACAGTGACAACGGTGACAACGATGACAACAGTGACAACAGTGACAACGGTGACAACAGTGACAACGATGACAACGTTGACAAGTGACAACGGTGACAAGGTTGACAACAGTGACAACGGTGACAACGGTGACAAAGGTGACAGCAGTTGCAACGGTGACAACGTTGACAACAGTGACAACGGTGACAACAGTGACAACGATGACAACGGTGACAACAGTGACAACAGTGACAACGGTGACAACGATGACAACGGTGACAACGGTGACAACAGTGACAACGGTGACAACGGTGACAACAGTGACAACAGTGAGAACGTTGACAACAGTGGCAACGGTGACAACAGTGACAACGGTGACAACGGCGACAACAGTGACAACAAATACTACTCTAAACACTGTACTCTGAGACCTTACGGAGATATTAAAAGTAGATACTAAGCAGCTATGGGAAATGTCATTACTTTCTTTCGACATTGATATCTTATAAAACGGACAAATTCAGCAGGAATACGGGCGAACTGAATTAACTGTGTGTTATATAAGGTTCTGTTAAACTTAAGGTAAGAACCTTAGTTTACGGCACAATAAAAAGATCAGCATTGCTGGTGGGTCTTGCATACAACAATTACAAGAAAAATAAGGAGTACTGAAAGCAAATGTACACTTGAAAATTCAAAACTGTTAAAGGTTTTTCTTGTATTACAGTATCACCGGGATGAAGCGTTTCATTTTCCCGGAAAATTTCACTTCCTCGTCAAAACAATCACTGACTCAGACAGACTCGGATTAGTTTACTTGAATTTAGTGTTCAGTACAGCGAACGGGGTTATTTTCTGTGAAATTTATCTACAGTCTGCCGTCTACATCACCACTGATCCACGATTTATTTATTTATTTTATTTTCAAGTTCTTTTTAACCGATCCCCGATCCCTGATTTCTCGATCCTCGATCCTCGATCCTCGATCCTCGATCCTCGATCCTGATTTTCCAGTAAACCTTGAAGTTTTGCTCATTAAGATTATTCTTTTTTTTCCGACCACTGAAGTGATCAGTTGTTCCAAAATAATCAACGCTTTCAAGCCATAGAATTCTTGGAGCAACCTGTTCCGGAAAAGCTCGATATGGGACTTCCATTAACTATGGACATGAAGTGCTGCAAGTAGAGTGTGTGGTTAGTCAAGTTCAAAGCTACCCGTATAAACACATCCGTGACACGTTAGGGTGGATTTCCACTGATGCGTTTTTTTGCTCCGCACGTTAACGCACGTAAATGTTAATCACGTAAATCAAATAGAGGTACATAGGCGTACGGGCCGGGGGGGCGAGGGGGGCTGCAGCCCCCCCAAATTTTGGGCAACTCAGATTTTTTGGGCAGCGAGAGAAAATTTGGGCAAAGCCAGTTTTTTAAAGACGTTTCCGTGTTTTTTAAATCATTATTTTGAAGAGATAAATATTTTCTATTTTAATCTCATTCACACGAGACAGTGGTTGCCTAGCATATAATGAGTTTCTGGTTATAAGGAAAGGGTATCATGTGCTGATTTTTTTATTGTTGGGCACTGTACTGCAATGGGCTATTTCCAATCGTGAATTGATTAGAATAAACTTCCGCCTAACTCTCTAGAATCATCTCCGCTCGTAGAACAGTGTGTGGCACATAGCATCAGCAATGGGTCTGAAAGTGAAGAAGTGGCTGACTAATTTTCAGTTTGAATTACGCGAAGAATCGTAATTTTAAAAAAAATCTATCGAGTGGTTTAAAAATTATTCACTAATTTGTTAAAGTAGACCGAAATGTTTACAAAACCGCTAACAAGAGCGCCATGATACATACTAAATACTCAAATATCCTTTTTTGGCCCACGTTTTTAAAAAGATTGAAACTACTATGAGGTGAAATTGCATGTCAAAAGCGCGTCGTTTTCTACAGATAACGGCCAAACATCAAGATTTTCCTTTTTTACCGTATTTCTAACGGTAAAAACTTTATCCCAAAATATCTCCGCAACGCTCTTACAGATTCCGTTTTAACTTTACGAACATCGAGGCGACTATTGGAGGAAAATGCTCTCGTGAACGATTTTGGAAGAACAGTTCCCAGTGAGAAATGTTGCTGCAAGTATAACAGGTAATGGCGTCATTTGGTTGCTATGACAACTCCGATGTTATTGCAACCCGGATCATAACAAATTTTCATCTTTATCTAATGCAACTGTGGTGGCAATTTTTCCAAAAGTTTGTTTATGGTGTCGTAGTCTATGCTCAAAAAAAACTTCACAGGTATTGACCCTGAAAAACTGTATCGAGCCACTTTCATGTGCTAGTACGGCCTATGTTGTTGCATCGTATGGCCCTCGTTTCTGTTCGACTGTTTTGTAGAAATTTGGGCAACTTAGAAGAATTTTTTGGGCAGATGGTTTACCGCCCCCCCTGGCAAAAAATTGCCCGTACGCCTATGTAGAGGTAAGACATAGTATTGAGATTAAACGTCAAATTAAGCGAGTTTCTACGTACTTTGAAGCTTACATAATTGTACGTGCGGCCTTTCATACACTGCCTTTATTTTATTTGCGAACGCAAGTTTTACGCACGTGCGCACGTAAAAATTACGTGACAGTGGATACTTCATATCTCAAGTATTTATGAAGTGCAACACAACTTCACATCGTAACAACTGCGAAAATCTATCAGTTAAATACATAAAACAAAGTGAATCTATTTAACCTTACATTTCCTGTAATTACGAGAATATTCTGAGAAACGTAACGCCTTAAAAAGCCACAAAATCCTGAGGATTTCCCCGCTATAATATTTTCTCATCCTGCTTGGGGATATTTCCTTTTTAAAGTGCCTGCATGTCGTGCATAATTACACGAAAATCAAGGGCCTCCATTCGAGGAAATTACGTCATTGCCAAACTTACATGCGTCATTTGAGTCATCGCCGAAAATAAAGTGCATTCTCATCACAAGACTCATTTCCATACAATGAAAGTCGTCACAGTTCTTATCCCCAGTTTCCACGGTCTTCGCTTGGAACGCGGGGCCTACAAACTAGGTCCCACCGACGAAAAAAAAACGACTGCATTTTAAGTGTCTCGCTCTGCTCAAGCAAGCTGGACTAACAAGCAGCTTTCGCCCGCCCAAAATACGCCTGCCCTGCAGGCTAGCTGAATAGACCTTTCCGTGCGTACTCCTCGCCATTCAGCTAGCCTGCAGTGCAGGCGTATTTTGGGCGGGCGAAAGCTGCTTGTTTATGTTCGTACTGTTGTAACCGCCATCTTTGTTATGACGGAGGAAGATTAGGGAGCATAAAAATAGTTACCCTAAGGGTAGGTGCCCCGCTCCTTTTGACTCGCCCCATTTTCTCCCCTCTTTTGGAGTTTCAACATGCGCTTTCGAGAGCAAAACATTCGTGCGCCCGAAGAAAACGCCTGCACTGCAGGCTACTATGCAGCACGCGTGTGTGCACGATGGTCAGTTTGGCTCTGGGTGGAGCTGAAGAATTGGGCTGATTTGTTGCCTTAAACACTCCTGGACTCTGATCCTGCTTGCTACATAAAGCACTCCGCCGAATCTATCACTGATTTCTTCGTAATTCATTATTTCAGGTATGCAAACGTGTTTCTTCATCCAGTCACTGATGATGAAGCACCAGGATATCACAGCATTGTCTTCAGGTCAGATCACCTGTGAATTTTCGTCTCAATGATTTGAGGGCCCAAATGAATTAACACTCGCTTGGATTTCTTGCCAGAGTTAACACATATAGTTTGATAGTAATTAATAGTTTATTCATTGCTATTGCGCAAATTTTTGTATGCAAGGAACCCACTGCAAGAGTTGTCGTCAACGGTTAAATTCGTTTGAAAGAGGCTCTTTGCCGCCTTTCTGCAGGTAGTCGAGTGGATTAGCATGCAAATAGCCTGCAATAAAACTCAGTCGAAAAGAGTCAACGGAGAGCTTGCTCGAAGGCAAGAACAAATACTGCGATCGATGGGGCATAAACACAAGCTGCATGGTCAATGAAGTTAGGTCCAAAACCGAAACTTGCTACGGGGAGAAACCTATGCAAGATCGGGACGAAGGAATCTGTAGAGGTAGTAAAATACTGGAGGAGAGTCCCTTTTAAGGCACACTTTCCCTTCGGCTAATAGCCTTCGCGCGGTCCTTTAATTGACGATCACGTGATTTGTTTGCAGTCGACTGCCTGTGCTCTGATTTGTTATAACTTGTGTGTTTTCCATCTTCTCATGCAGACCGATGGATCTCTCGTCAATAAAAAAGAGCATTGAAAACGGGGTAAGGAGTTTCTAATCTTAAAATATATAATCACGCAAATCTAGCACCAAGTTGATAATTTCAAATTCTTTCTCATGCGCTAATGGAAACTGCAATGTTGTTTTTACAGACCATTCGTACAACAAGCGAGTTCCAAAGAGATATGATGTTAATGTTTCAGAACGCTCTCATGTACAACAGTGCTGATCATGATGTGTAAGATACAGTGTGATATACTTATCTTTAAGATTCAATATTTGTAAGCCCGCCCCCATCTTCCCCTAGAAGCTCCTCGCGCAAATTAAGGCGCGCGGGAACGGGATAGGCACGCATGGGAGAAGGGAAGGGAACCTTCTCAAACGCTTGCCAGGCTAGTTTAGTCGAGATATCATAGCTTTGAAAGAAACTACGATAGTTTCTTTTCATCTTACCTTCCTATACCTTTTGTTTTGTTTTTTTTTTTTTTACTTTAATGCTTCCGAAAAACATGTCCATAATTCCCTCTGCGTTCTAAAAAGATTGCATTGCTTTTCACCAGGTATCGCATGGCGGAAGAAATGCGAGATGACGTTATGGAGCAGATTCAGGTAAACTTTTCCTTCAACGTACAGAACTGTGTTCTTTCGCTCTCAAATTGCGCTTAACTTACATATGTACTTTGTTGTGTTGTCTTACAGTCGTACATTGCAACTCAGATCATGGTTGATTCTAAGATGTTGCGAGGCCATAGGCAAGACGGTGAGCGGCTTCTGTTGTTGTTGTTCTTACACACTGTAAATAATAGAGATCTGTTTTAGCCGTAAAAATGGGGCCGTTTAAGTGAGTAAAATACAGTATAGGCTCTAATTTGGGTCCCTTAATTAGGCCCATTACAGTCCAATTACCTAGAGCTGATTTGGACCCACGTGCTGAAATGAGTCCCAACGTGCGCTAGAATAGGCTATTGATGGGTTTCTTTTGGCTTAAATTATGCTCGAGTGGCTCCCAGAAATGCTGAATCAGACTTTGGCCTGCAGGGCTTTATTGTTTTAAAGTGCGTTTGATAGCCGTGATATCTTAAATTTGTCATGAGCTTGCTTATTTACACCGCCTAGCATGCACTTATCAATATTTTCTTTTTTTCAGTCTTTCACATATTTCTTTGAACGTCTGACTCATCTCTATGTCAAGGTTAGTATTTTGCGAGCCGGATATCCTCGAATTTGTAGCAAGAGAAGAGCATACAGTTTTATATGTAAATTCAAACATCTCTTTTTCACTTTATAAGCTTCGATTTTCCTCTTTTCCGTTTAATGAAAATCGTAACAAAAATGAACATAAATGGCTTAAAGATGGCAGGGAAGAAATACTTGAAATTGAACTAAGAAAACCAAACCGAATTTAAGTTGGTCGCGAAATCTTCTCTACTTGAAGCACATTACATTCTAGTCCTCAAGGAGCCAGACTGAAGGGATACCAAGACACTTTGAAGTAGCTTTTTTATCAATTATTCTCTTTAGTATTAAGCAGGAGACATTTCTTCCTAGTGTTATTGCCTAATGCTCTCCCTTTCCCCCCTAAACTCCATCGCCGGGAGTGAGGCGGGAAGACTGGGAACAAACGCAGCACTTATGTAAGCGAAGTGTCAAGTATGGCCCTTGAACAAAGCAAATGCCGGACGAAGAAAGCACATATGTAGATGACCTGCGGTTTTTCAAATACAACTGGTATTCTGAAAAAAAACAAATTATTAATGTTTAAATGTTCCGTGTTGAAGACTAGACCTCGAGACGGGTTTTCCCCTCCTAAAAAAAAAAATCCTGGATCCGCCCCCGGAAGTGGTTTTTTCTCTCTTATTACACTACCAAATTTGACCGTTAGCCCCTTCAGACACCCCAAAAATTTGCTCAAAATTGAGGACAAAAGTTCAGTTTTTGACATCGTCGCTCAAAAACGTGGTTACTAAAATTGTAAAGTCAAAGGTCGATTTGACAGTTTGCCGCTTTACAGCGTTTATGATCTACTTTTCTCTTGATTTCTACTGCCGTCACCTGATTTTGCTTTGTTTAAGAGCAATTAGAGCGGAGCCTGCATTGCTATAGAAATTTGGAGAACCAATTGATGCGAGAAAAATTTGGTTATGACGACAAAGCACCCCCGACCGCCCGTACAGACTGGCAGTCTACCTTACAGACAGAAATACTGACCCTTAAGCAATCGTAACCTGTAAATTGCTGCTACTGAAGAGACTTATAGCTTCGCAAAGGGGTGTATGGTGGGGGTCTCGATGATGTAGTTTGAAAGATTACTACACTAATTGAACTTGAATGATTGGGATTAAGTTTTTGTGGTTAACGTCCCTTAAAAGGTAAACTGATGCCGAAGGCTCCTAAAGTTAAGTAGGGATTTGAAGATTTCTTTCTTTGGGTTACAATTATTGAGTTAAGTTAATTGCTTTTATTATAAGATGTAAACGGAGGCTTCGCTTTTGGCCCTGGCTAAGGACCTGTTTACATGGAGGTGGGGGACCCCAGATAGGTGAGGCAACATGTGGCGGATCACTCCCCTATCATGTAAACGTGATCAAATTAATATGAGAGATTATATGGACAGGCAAGTTACCCCACGTACCTGGGGTCGCCCACCACCATGTAAACAGGCCCTAAATATATATATTACAGACGTCGCTTACATGCAACGTCTTTTCTTTCTGGTATCGGTGTATTTGGTGTGTAGACGTCTTTTTTTTTGTCTCAAGTTTAAAAGTTTGTTTTTGGCGTTCTTACGGGCTTTTGGGTATAAATAAAGTTTTTTATTGTTAAAATGGACGCTACACAAAGGTCTATTAACTTTTGGACATTATTATCATCCCTAATTGAAACAGATTTCCTTCTTTTTTGATTATCTTAGGTATCCACAGAAGCTTACAGTGTTTGGTCACCTGAGCCAAGATACCCTTCGACAAGAATAAGATTTTTTAACTGTAACAAAGCGGTGTAACGTGATAGGGCAGTTTGGACCTTGAAAACGCAAAGGTTTGCTCACTTTTGTAAATTTTCGTAGACCTGGAAGAAAGAGAATAAAAACAGGTTTGGTTTACAAAACATCAGTTTCGGATAGTTTATAAAAGGTTATCAGGGCTTATTTTGCTGAAATGTCGGTCGACCCGCCTGCATAATGCCCTTGTTATCCGCTTTCCCAAGGGTGGTAGGGACCCCGGGTCAAAGGTGGAGTAATTGGGGACTGTGTTGGGATTTTTCCAAAGATGTTGGGGCTTTGATTTATGACGATCCAACACGAGGAAAATGCGAGGACTTCGCTCCTTTACAGCGAAAGCAGATCGATAAGAAAATGACACAGGGTACTTCTAAGGGAGTGCTCCATGGGTAGAATAATCACTTTCACATTTTGATTGACGTTATGTGCTTTTGTAATTGTAAGTTGGCGGCGTTTTCGGTGTAGGGGTGAATAGAGAGCTTTAGATTTGACAGGATTCGAGGACGAGAAACGACTACAAGTACGAGAGATTTAACGGTGAGTTTTACCTCGTATTCTCAAAAAATATACTCCCCAGAAAGCTTCACTGTACTTTTTATTCAACAGAAAAATTAGCACTGTTATCTTTATTAACGGGGCTTCATTCTCGTCCCCAGAGCCACTCGGCTTAATTTGTAACCGACCTCGTTTCCCGACCACGTGACCAAGAAATGACGGGCTCTGGGGACGAGAATAGGGAGGCTTAGCCCTGTCCCGATCGCAAAATGATAAAACTTTTAACATTTGATAACTCGTTTCCGCCACTACGACATTCTTGCTAAAACTCGTAGTAGAATGACCTAGAATGACGAAAGCTATCACGTTTTCCCTCCAAAATGACGCTGGTTCATTTCTCTTAGTCGTTCTCGTCGTAGAGTCTAAAGGTCTCTAATTAATCCTACCCTGTAAATTAGAGTAGACTGCCTCTTACCCCGGAGAAAAAGCCAGGCCGTTGGGAGTAGAGTGACAATGCCAGTATACCACGTTTGGGCAAACAGGGTCCACAACATTGTTAACGGTACTTACCGGAACCATGCCCCCCTATCCGTTTCCGTAGGCAGAAACGGTGCTTCGCAAGGTTTCTATTATCAGTAAACTTGTTGAAATGTTCGGTGAAGACGGCGTCATTATAATTATACTACTACTCCAGAATCCTTTGCGGTTTTGCTTTCTTGTATAAATTTGAATCTCACTGGGATTATCAAATTTTAACTTGAGAGAAAAAACGAAGTGAATTCTGGTCTTTATAGTAATCATCCATGCAAATGGCTATTCTTTTGGTGTACTTCGTGTCGGTCAATAGAAACGAAGAGAGTTGAGCGGGGTAAGCTGCTCCTCAACTCGGCCATCATCTAGCCATCTTGACCGAGTCTGGTGAAAGAATTGGGATGAGATAATGGAAAGAAGCGAGGCTGATTTCACAGTTGGGAATTTATATATTTTTGCCAATATTTCGAAAGGTACGGCCTTTCTTCTTCAGGGTCTTTCAAATGACTCCAAAAATGGGACAAAAACGTCTATTGGTTCTGATGCGGCTTAACATCCGTGGATTTCAAACTATGATAAATTTAATAGAGGTCAAACATCCTTAAAAGACTGGGATACACCGCAATCGTTTCCGCCCCCTTTAGAGAAGGGGGTGGTGGGGGGGAACTTGTGCTTCATTACGTCCTTTCGGATCAAAAATAAAGAATGCTGGGGTAGAAGGTATTGTCGATCATAAAATGTGTGTCCCAGGGAACCGTTTTCATAAAGGACCAGTTGAAATAACAAAATAAACGACATTAAATAGTACTACATTTATTTTTCTCCAACGTAAGTAAAAAAGGAATATTTCTTGACGTGAAAACTGGAATCTACGTTCGGCACAAACAAAACAAACGTTAAAACTTTCTGAGGGTTCTCCAATCTGATGGCTGGTTTGTTTGCATCAATCTTTAATTAGCCGTCTTAAGGACCACTCTGCTGAATATTGTAGAGACGACAATGGTTTACAAAACGCGAATACAATTGGAGTAGGCATTGATTTTAAAAGAACAAGCCATAGAACACTATTTCTTCACTAAAATGAGAGTCCATGCCATAAAATGTGTTTTTTAACTCCTTATTGTCATTAGAGACCCTTAGATTCGTGGACGAGAACGACAATGAAGACGAGATTTGACTTTCACCTTCGTATACTAAAAAAATTGACACCCCGGAAAGCTTTGATGCACTGATTTCACCAGAAAAGTTGGCACTGTTATCTCTATTGAAGGAGGTTAAGCCATCCCCCAAGCGCACATGCAATTACAAAACTTCTAACATTTAATAACTTGTTCCCGCCACGACGACATTCTTGCTAAAACTCGTAGTAGAATGACGATGGCTATCACGTGTTCCCGCCCAAACGACGCTGGTTCACGCGTAAGCACTACTTAGTATTGAGAAATCTCGTAATCTCAGTCGTACTCGTCTTAGAATCTAAACGTCTCTAATGTACTACACATGCAAGTTCCACAATATCTTATTCTTGAAAAGAACTACTGCAGTTATTGACAGTGTTTTAAATCTAGTTAGGGCTTGGTGAGCGGCTCTGTATTGCCTGCTCTTCTTCTTTATCACTGTACTCAGCAGCGGCGGCGGCTGGCGATGCAGAACGTGACCGTGAAGCAGATCGTGACCGTGCGGGGGATGGCGAGCGTGACCGCGAACGTGATCGTGAACGCTCTCGTTCTCGTTCTCTCCGGCTCTCACGATGACTATCACGGCTTCGTTCACCTCGGCTGCTGCGTTCTCGGCGCTTGGGGGAACGTGACTTTGATCGTGAGTGCGAACGGCGGCGTCGGCGTCTTAAAAAATAAAAAATTGCATAGATTAGCCTCTTATGCAGAAGTCCTACCATATATATAGGTTAGTTTTCCAAGAATGACCTGCAAGGTGTTCCAGTATCTAGGAAGCTACACCGATTCTTGCCTTCAGCAAACCTTAACGGACGATTTGAAGGTCTTAGTATTTTCACAGGAGAGATTTTAGAAGTGTTACTGAAATACAAACCGTTTTGAGATATACAAGTACTTCATGCGTAATGAGCAGTGAATTCACATGCGAAGTACTCATGACATTTCTACCAGCTCAGTTTTCTTGAATTTGATGAACTCTATTCAAAGCAATTTTATCCACACAAAGATGTTTCATTCTGGCCGAATACAGAGAGGTTATCGTAAAAAATTAACAGCTCATTATGCATGAAGGATTTCCTTCATTTTCGAGATTTGAATTTGATATTGTTTGCGGCAAAACTAACGGATTCAACTTTTGAAATAATATATTCATTAATAGGATCTTGGGGGTATGCTTGACCTGGTTTGACTGTATAACAATCTTTTTTTGAATCATTTTTGGCAGTAACAGTGGAGCAAATTGAACCTTATCAGCCCAATGAAACAGGTTTTTTTAAGTCAGGCTGAAATGTATTGTGCACATGGCTAGAAAACAATTCACATGAACAATAAAGGATAATTCTTAAATAAATTAATAAATTATTGTCCACCTTACCTGGGACTGCGACTACGGGAGCGACGACTGCAAAAAATAAGAAATAATTCTAACTTAATTTTAACATGTCAAAAATTGGTCTATCAAGCCCTGAATCAGAACATACCTATTGCCTTCATCATAGTAATCTCTCCTACCGCTACTGCCGTAACCATACGCTTCTCTCTTTTCCTTGCCACGCATCTGTGCTGGTGCTGAGAGGAAGAAAAAGGTTCATGTTGAGTGATCATTATTTTCAACATCAGAAAATGTGTGTGGTACACTGTAAATAGTTAGCGCACATTATTTTCAATCTGCATGTTTTATTCTTTTGCCTTACTTTTTCTGTCTCCCTCTGCAAACTGAACTTCTAGTTCTCTTCCATGAAGCATAACTCTGTTCAAGTAGTAATGCGCATCCTCAGCATCACGGATATCTTCAAATTTATGGTATGTTAAGGCTTGACTTTCCTACACCAAGCTTTGCCTGGAACAAAAGCTTGATAATTGCTTACCCTGCTGACAAAATCTTTTGATGGTTGATGCCCCTGCTGTATCACCTCATTCAGGTAATTAGGAGTTTATTTTATTGACTTCCTTTTTGGGACATCTTCAAAACTGCCAAAGATCGATCACCTTGTCAATGTACAAGCACAACCTTTTAGTTTACGTTAACACTCTCACTTTTAATTGAATAATGACCTTGATATCCTGGCAAAATTAATTCTTTTACACAAAATTCTGTGGAAACACATTGATTTGCATCTTCTATATTTACACCACAAAATTAATATAACACTGCAGAATTGATGACGGTATCACCATTCTCAATGTTGAAGTGAGCTGAAATGCCACCTTTCAATTTTGTTTAAAACTTCTCTTGTCCTGAGAATGATGCTATTATATTACAGTCTATAGAAAAGCCTTTTTTCATCCCTACTTTTGTGATAGGTATAAGAGTTTGGTATACCTGGTTACATTGAAACAAACTGTGATACAGTTACAGCTACTGACTTCACATTCTTTTACTGTTTGCTTGGATGCTTTTCTTTGACCCTTGTCCTTGCCTTGACTGCTGTTTAGTGTTAGATTTAGCTTGTATAACCTCTACCTTGAACATAACTTTGACTTTTTCTGTGGCTGGTCGAATTTTGGGTATTTTGCACTTTTGAGGTTTGCTTTCACAACTTTTCTTTGAAACTTGTCTTGACTTGAGAAGGTTTAACTGGCTTTGGAATTAGCTTGGTACAACTTGGAGGCTTGATATGAACTCTACATGGGTATGAAGGGCCAAATTTTGGTTTCACATTACTTTAAGAGGTTTGCTTTGATAACCTTTCTTTGAAACTTGTCTTGACTGTGCAATTGGCTGGCAGACTTTTAGCTTGATACGGCTTGTAGCTTGATACAACTTGCCAAACTTTAGGTATCACGCTCTTTTGATGTTTTCTTTGAAAGCTTTTCTTTAAAACTTGCCTTGATATGAACCATGCATCTCAATGGCAGACTTTTACCAAGATTTCCTAGAGGAGTTAGCAAACCAACTGTAATGTCTCATTTATTGACTGTTGTTGCCCACTTAGAATAGAGATATTTCAACCCCCCTTCCCTGCCTCAGCCCTAAACACTTTTCCTTGTCCACAGGATATTGTGAAGTTGTGGGGGATCTATTTATACCTATAATTTCCTTGTTAGACAAAATTTTTTCAACTTAGTTAAAAAATGTGCATACGTGAAAATGAAATGCTGCGATTCGTAGCATGAAACTATTTTAGAAAAAAAAAAAAATTACTGTAAATCCTCTAATAAGCCCCCTCCCCTCCACCTTTTTATTCTTCACTAATAAATGATAGACTGAATTAATCAATCACAACTGTAAAACTTCCCTTGGACTGACCTAGGATGGTTTATTCACCAACTGGAAATTCAGATTTGTCTTTCATCCTTGGCTGCAAGTCCTCCAGCTTCTTGTACTTGGGCTTTTACCATTGTCTTTGCTAAATTAAATAAGTCCCCAGTCGCCATTAGGCCCCCCCCCCCCCCGCCAAATGTGTTTGGAATAAGGAAGCCCCTTGGGTGGCTTAACAGAGGATTTACAGTACTCACAAGTTGCTTCAGGTTATAAATGCACCAAATTAAAGCATTTTTGCTTTCGAAATTGAGCACCATTTTACCTTTTTTCTTTAAAGAATTAAATAAAAATGTAAACTCACGGCTCACCACGAATTAAGCGGTTCGTTAGAGCAGGGCGGCTTTTTCATGATATAAGCTTTGTACTTACATTATCCCTTTAATCTTTGAAGAACCGATCCCACTAATCTCTACACACTTGATTCTTTCTTTTTCTTTTGCCGTGATCATGACTGTATTACTCGCACTTTCGACTATTTCCCCGAGAACCTTTACCGCCACTCTGTATTTACGTAAGCAGCTTGACACTTCAAATCTTTAATCGACGCCTTTCCTTTATGAGCATTCGTATCTTTTTAGTGAAGCTCTGCCTTTACGAACTTTCGTTTCTTTCTACTTGCGCCTTTAACATTCGTTTCCACGTTGGACTAGCTTGGGCTTTAAAATCTTTAACGATTTGCCTCACGTTTTCTTGTTACTTTAGCTCTTTTACAAACTCTTTTGCCCTGGTTATCAAAGGACAACAAAATCACTTTAGTGCCAAACCTTTACAAACACAGACTAAAAGAAACCACATACAAAATAAAGCTCTTAAGAAACAAAAAGGATATTGTACATAAGCAAAGCCTCGGGATTCTCTTGTGTAGTAGTCCAACGGAATGTACACGTCGGTAATTCGGCCATATTTGGCGAACAGGCGTCTAAGATCTTCGGGTCTGACAAGAGAGTTCAGGTCGCAAATTAGATAAAAATCGGGAAAAAACAACTTACAAATGCTTCAACTGGTCTAACCTTGTCTCGTGATGTAAGTTTCTTACGTAGAGTGAGCTGTTCGGCGGTCTGGAATATCTCGACATTTTCGTTTCTTCTTGCTGAAAGAAAACCACGCTTTGACTCGCTGTGAGAGTTATTATGGGATGCCTAATGCCTTGGTATCCGCATTCTTTCTGGTCATCGGTGTTCCGGCTAAG